TCTGCCCCGGGAGGAGCCATTCATTCCCCCTTTTCACTGCACCAGAAAATAAAAAGCCTCTTCTTTTGCCTGATTCTATTTATTTTCCAGCACATGAATGGTCATCTTAAGGTCACAGCAACGTCCCTTGACCCCTGACCTCCTTGCTATTGGCTGCTTGTAATATCGGTGATGCAGGATTTGATGCGGCCGTACACGTCCCTCAGGATGAAAGCATCAGCTAAATGGTAACAATCCAAACACGCTCAATACTGGCTTCAGATTAAAAGCTTATTCTACACCCACCATATAGAAAGTCACTTTGGATGAGAGCTGAGGCTAAATGTCTAAAATGAGAGTATTCCTCAGCATATTTATGGCCTGCTTTGGTAATGGGGGGTTGGAGCTCACTGTCTCTCCACTGTAAGTCCCTCTGAGAGCATCAGCTAAATGGCTGAAATGTAAATGTTCTGGCTGTAATGTTGCTGATCCTGCTGTTGCTCTCGCTGTGAGGAGGGTGACTCTGGATGAGGGGAATATGCTAAACGCTGAAAATGGGAATGGCCTTACTGTACCAGTGGTTCAGTATTTATTTGGAGTTTATTGTGCAGATAAATTCATCAGTTAAACGGATAGAATATATTTCTCATCATAACTCCTCATTACGCGGGAGTACACGCTCCCCCCCTGTATTAGATTATAAGTGGCTCTCTGTGGATGGATGCAGAGCGCACTGTTGACAAGCCCAGACCCTGAACACCCCGCCGGGTGTCGGTTTCCCTCCAGGCCCGCAGTGTAAAAAGTTGGGGGGCCTTGCAGCTCGGGTGTCAGCCTTGCTTCTCGGATTTTCCAGCCACAGACGGTGAACTTTCACCCCGACCTCCAAAAGCACCTTTTATTTTCGCTCTGTAGCCGTTGACCATTTTTACCTCCAGCTACTCGCCATCCATACACTCATCCCTCCGTGCTGGCTGTGCGCGGGGCGGATCGATAGGGCAGCATCTGCTCCGGGAAGCCGGCGGTCCCACACCGCGCACCGCTCCGCTGTTTCCAAACGCCAGAACTGCTCATCTCTGAAAATTAAACTGACAGACAGATATGATTAGTATGCGCTGTGCCTGCCCGCTCTGTCTGCCTCTGCTTCTCTCTGAGGCCGGCGCGGGCCTCAACATGCAGACCACATGTATATGTATGCTTCTTATATGCACATACAGGCCCCAGTGCACATATACGGACACCATTCTCACGTGAACGCGCGCATATACAAGCACGCACGCACACAAGTACAGGCCTGCGTGCACGCGCCGCCTCTCGTGCACAAAACTACCATAAAGTCACACACACTCCCAAATTAGACACAAATTAAGCACACACACTGCAAGCTGAATTTACACCAGATTAGGTTAACTGGGCTGTGGCGCGCGCACACGCACGCGCACCCAGCAGGCCGGGCCTGCAGTGTGCGTGTTCGGTGCCGCAGCAGCAGGTCGAGGGTCGCATTGATCCTGGTGAGGGACTTTCCAGACTCAAGTGTTGGCGGTGTGAGTGAATGGAGCCGAGCTGAGTGCTGATTAAGAGCCGGGCTAAACACGAGCGTCACTTGACAGCGTTTATTCCTGAAAGGATGAACAAGAGGAGTCCGGAAAATGAAAGAAATGCAAAATCCCTCTGGAATGTTTGGTGCCGAAAAGGAATAAAACTACAGGATGTGGCCTGGTGTGAAGATGGCGCACAGCAGGGTGTAAATGGATAGATTTGTTTTTTCTGGAGTCAATAAGTCAGTGAGGCAATTTACATAATTGCATATTCACCCTTAAATCGTTCTTTAAACTCATCCCAGGGCCTTCTAATCGAGTCCTGCACTGATTCCAGAAAATAGAAATAAATAAAAAGTTCTTATATATTTCTGACAATAATAAAAATCACAGTAATGAAAGGAACACTGAAATGTTTGTGTATTATCCAGCTATATCCCATCTCCATATCCCGGATAATATTTCACGGTGACAACAGCAGCAACAGCATCACTTATTACATTAAAAAGAAGAAGTAAGCGACATTATCCGCAGCTCGTGAAGCCCCATTGATCAGATCCAATAATGCGCCGAGCGCAGCACAACGACCGGGATGTGCGCACATAATTCATAAGTTGTGCATGCAATCAGCGGAAGAAGGCTTAACCTGTGGGGTTATGAGAAAGGGAGCATCTCCACCACCACACCTCCCCCGCCCCGTCGCAC